TGATCACCGGATAGTGCGAGTAACTCTGTCCATGTGCATGAAACCTGCTCATTTCCAGCAGAAGTCAAGACCTCTACCTGTTACCTCCCCGCTTTTTGACAAGCTCAAGCTTCAAGCAGCAATGGAAACGCACACACGTTCAGCAAATGGCTTCGACATCCAAAGTTTCGTGAAGGTGCGTGTAATTGCATAGCTGTGTCACAAGTACGGCAGGAAAGAGTGGAACGAATTTCGGCTAGAACACTGGCGCTAATGGAAGAAAAAAGAAAACGGAAGTTCGGACTCACAAGTGGATCAACATCTGTTGTGCTATACACGTTGCTGTGTAAACAAGTTAGATGGTCACTCACAGACGATTTCCGCAAGCACAACGACCGAGTCATGAAAAATGCGATAGAAAAATTGAAGATAAGGCATGCAAGACATGAGTCAGCGTATGAACGTCGACAAATAGCCCAACTGCGATGTTCTGATGGTACCCTAACAACGACTCCACAGGAAGCCATGACTATTGCAACTACGTTCTATAACGACCTCTACAGATCACGTGATGGTCCCTTCGTCATCTCAACGAATCACCTTTAAGACGCCCGATAACAGCAGAGGAGCTCCGTAATGCATGTAGAAGAATTCGTGGAAACACTGCACCAGGAGCTGATGGGATGGAGCGACGAAGCATCTGATACCTTTACGCGCGAAAGATCTTGCGAATGTACTAAACCACCATTTCGAGGACAATGAGTTTCCAGAGAGGTTCATGAAGGCAAAGACGATCCTCCTCTACAAAAAAGGCGATCCACTGAATATCAGAAACTACAGACCAATCTCTCTTCTGTCGGCTGTCCTCAAAGTTCTAACCCGCACACTGGCCCGTCGTGTGGAAGATGTGGCTATGGAGCTGGACCTGAGGAACAAGCTGGTTTTAGCCGTAACTTCTCCACTCGTAACCATATCCTGTCAGTCAACTTATTAATGGAAAAATGTAATGAATGGAGAAAACCACTCAACATGGCCTTTATTGACTACCAGAAAGCCTTTGATACAATCTGATACAAAATCATTTGGAAGGCACTGGAGACGTTTGGAGTGGATGACTGCACAGTAAGAATGATCGAACAACTGTATGCGGCTGGACGATCGTTTTTAACCTTGGGCACGATGGAGATGGAGATAGACATACAACATGGTGTTGGACAAGGCGATACTCTTTCTCCACTGTTATTCATTTTGACGCTTCAATCGTGTCTAGATGAAATCGACTGGTGCGATCAAGGCTTCCCCATTGACCACGTTCGCCTTAACCATCTCGCTTATGCCGACGATCTGTTTCTGTGCCCACCTACCGTCGATGGGCTACAAGCAATACTTGATAAACTCATTGATGTGACCAAGGTGGCCGAACTCTAAGTAAGTTCGAGCAAAACAAAATGCATGTCAAACAACCCTAATGGACAGCAACTTAGAGCCAGTGGTAAGAAATTGAGTTGGTGTCGTCTTTCGTATATTTGGGTCAACTTGTATGTTTCACCCAATATCGTGAACAAGAAGTCATCGGAGGGTCAGCGCTGCGTGGGGTATTAGCAGAAAAATCCGAGCTCTGTTAAGAAGCCGAATGACACCAATTACGACTAAACGACACTTCTTTCACACCTGCGTGTTACCCACTCTGCTGTATGGTTGTGAAACGTGGGCCTTTACCAAGGCAGCGGAAGATCGCACAAGAAAATGTCAGCGACGAATGGCATCTTTCATAGTCCACGACCAGTCCGCGACCGATCGCGCGACCGATCGCGCGACTGGTCGCCAGTCGCTAGCGACTGGTCGCTCGACTGGTCACTTGACTGATCGCGCGGGACCGTCCACGGCGGCACCCATAACTAGCGCGGCCTCCTCGACCGATCGAGCGACCAGTGGCGCGATCAGTCAAGTGACCAGTCCGCGACTGATCGCGCGACTGGTCGCGCGACCGGTCGTGGACTATGAAAGATGCCAATGGAGCGCCAAATGCTGGGTCTCCGTCTTCGTGAAAGGGTATCAAATGCAGTACTGCGAGCAAGGACTAAACTTAAGGACGCTATCGCCGGAGCCAGAAAGCGCAAGTGGACCTATGCCGATAAATTTATGACAAGTGACCAGACAAGGTGGGAAGTAAGGCTGACGAAATGGAAGCCCTATGGTATTAGACCAGTGGGACAACCACGTATACGATGGGAAGACGATTTCAAGATGTTCGCGGGAACAGAATGGAGGAACATTGCA